ATAAGTATTCTTCTAAATAAAATTTTGAAAAGGCCAACAATATTGTATTGATGTATTCAACTATACTTGAATTCCTTAATCAACTTTTTAAATTTGACAGAGTACTTATGTATTCAGATATAATTGTATTCACAGATCAACAGTTCAACTGTGGTTATATAATAATACAAATGTCTATGTATATAAGTATTCTACTATATACAAAATTGACAATCAAAGAACCCTCAATCTCTTTTTTGTTCATGTTCTTCTTGTACTCATTTTTTATCAACTATATACATATGAAATCAAATTTTCTGACAATTTCAATACAAGCGGACAATGGCACACAATACATGTGTTGAGATAGATAAGTAAATGACATTAAACTAAAAAAATAAAGCATACAAATCTCAATTTCATTTTCCTCTTGTTCCTGCTCGACTGCTCTTTTTCAGCACCCACTTGAATCAATATTGTTGACTTTTCTCCTTTTTTCAAGATTAGTTTTCACTTTTGAACCTTTTTTCCTCTTTACTAATTTTGCATGCTCGATTTCTTCAAGCAGATTTAAGGGTATATGGTCATTAACCTTTTTTGTCCTTCTTTCTTTCTCCATTGCAGCAATAGAGCCTGGATTTTTGGCTTGTTGTTGAGTAATACACAAATCAAAAGCAGGTAGTTCATCCAACAATTTGTCAAATAAATGTATACCTCTAGTAACCCTCCTCAGAGTATCAATTTCAGCCACAACGGAGCAAAGTGGGCTGTTTGAACTTTGACTCTTATCTGTAAGTAAGGAGCTGAAAACAAGTCCTTAGGAGGGCCCTCATTCTCAATGCAAGCTAGCTCTTACTTGTGTTTAGTGAGGTAGGCTATTGAAATGGATAAACAAATTCTAGAATCAAAAACCCTGTAGAAAATAGTAGAAAGTGTAGATATGTAGATATATAATGCTCATAAAAACGAGATAAATATGCAATTAGAAGATACCTGATGGATACAAATTTACAACAAAAAATACGCTCATGCAGTGATGTAAAGGATCTTGAATTTGAATGAATTTGGAGGAAAAAATCAGAAAATATGTGATGTATGAATATTGATGAAAGAGAAAAATTTGATGATGGTAAACATGGGAAAAGATCATAAATGTGACTGCCATAATTAATTAGGCATTCAATAATTACTTTCCTATTTAATATTTATTTATTATATGAAAAGATCATAAATGTGCCTGCCATAATTAATTAGGCATTCAATAATTACTTTCCTATTTAATATTTATTTATTATATGAAAAATATAAATTTTATTTATTTATTTGTATATAATTCACTTTGCTATTTATAGTCTAATTATATCCATATAACATGAAAAAAATAAAACATAGCTATTTTTCTTGAATATATATGGATGTTTGCCATAATCTGAAGTTTTTCCTATTTAGACAATTGAATATTGAGATGTGTTTAATATAAGTAGATGATAATTTAGCTAGATATAGAGAATAATGTATAGTTGAAATATAAAATTCTTTAAAAAAATTATAATTTTTTTTTGTCGAAGAGACTTTGTTTATTATTTTAAAAAATTTATTTATCTTTATTATTCAAAATACAAAAAGGTTTGCCCTGATATACTCTTTTTTGTTGTTCTTTTTAATGCTTTCTTCCAAACAACACTTCTTATTAATTGGACAAATAAATTTGACTTTAAAAAAAAAAACAAAATTGCAATTTGGTTTCACTTGAACCATGCTGACCCATCTCCTCCAAAAACTAAACCATAAACCACCCACCACCGTCCTCCTCCGCCGGAAAACCACCTCAGCTGAATATGTAGCCTCAAGAAACCGAGACCCCACTTTCGAAAAACTCATGGACAAGTACAAAAACCTCTTCAAAGTAATCGCAATTCAAGACCTCATCCTCGGTACAACCACCAACGCCGCCGCACCTCCCGCCGTCTCCCTCGATTTCCTCAACCGCCTATCCCAGCGCCTCCATCTCAACCGCGGCGCCACTCATTTCCTCCGTAAGTACCCCCACATCTTTAACATTTTCCACCACCCTATCAAATTACAACCTTATTGTACACTGACGGAAACCGCCCTCAAAATCACCCAACAAGAGGCTACAGCTATCAATGCTACTTTACCACTTGTAGTAACCCGTTTGGTGCGTTTATTGTCGATTTCAGTGACTAAATCATTGCCCCTTAGAGCCATTTTCAAGGTTTTTAGGGAACTTGGGTTGCCTGATGATTTTGAGGAAAGTGTAATCTTGAAAAAATCTGATCTTTTTGCACTTGTTGATAGTGATAATGAACCGAACACTCATTTGTTGAAACTTGTCGGGGATATACCAAAGGGGGAGTTAGTGGCTGCTGTTGATAATTGGAGGGTAGTGGAATGTTGTAAAGAGGATTGTGGGGTTGATAGGAATGAGATTTTGTTTAGTTTTAAGCATAGTTATCCACCAGGGATGAAGTTGAAGAGGAATTTTAAGGCAAAGGTTAAAGAATGGCAGCAGTTGAGGTATGTGGGGCCGTATGAGGCTGTGGAGATTGGAAAGAAGAGGAAAAATAAGATTGGGATGATGGAGATGGAGAAGAGGGCAGTTGGTATTGTCCACGAGTTTTTGAGTTTGACAGTGGAGAAAATGGTTGAGGTAGAGAAGATTAGTCATTTTAGGAAGTGGTTTGGGATTGATTTGAATGTAAGGGACTTGTTTTTGGATCATCCAGGGATATTTTATCTTTCGACGAAAGGGTATAGGCATACAGTGTTTTTGAGGGAGGCTTATGAAAGGGGATGCTTGATTGAACCAAATCCAGTGTATGAGGCTAGGAGGAAGCTTCTTGATCTTGTTATTTTGGGACGGCGAGGGTTGTCTAGAGGTCATTCTGAGCCAACAGGTGTGAGCCAAGGGGAAGACGGTTTCACTGAGGAGGTGAAGACTGATTCAGATGAAAATTAGTTTTCTATCCGTACCATAAATGCAGGATGCTTTGCAATTGCTAAAGGCCTGATGGAAAGGATCATAAAAGTCAAGAGGCTTGAACAAATTCTTAGCAAATGAGATTGGAGGTAAGGGTTGAGAACACAAGTTATATATTGTTCATTTTATCAGGTAGTTTTGAAAGCCTTTTATTCAAAAGCACAACCATTGCTTTCACTTACTTTCAGATGGACCACGACATTCTAGTCCGTGACATTTCAGTATGTTGTCGCCCAATCAACCAACTATGCCTCAATTCCAAACTACTAGTTAAGATTTGCTATATTAGTCGTTCAACTCTCCTCAGGGCGCTCAGACCCATTTCATTACAATCTTCCAGAAAGAGCAGATGTTTTTATACAGTCAAATAATTGAACTCCCTCTTCTCCTGACTTCCCAACATATCTTATAGAGGCAGAAACAAATTAAATATATCTCACGGCTCTACACGGTAATATCATCTGTTTATTATCAAGAAAGCTAATCTTACCACTTGAGGTCTTTCTAACTTAGTGAAAACCAATGCAAACGCAAAGACTCGTATGCACATGAAACACATCCTGCATGTATCTGAAATTAAGGTCAAAGACTTAATGTTTAGCGACCTTTCAACTAATACAGTGGGATGGTAGGTTGGCTGATCTGTGAGAGTTTGCATATATATCCAGTTCACGTTGGAAGACAAATCAAGTATTATCTGATGTTATATCCATGTGCCACCTTTCATTGACAGAACAGTCGTAGCAGTCATGTCTTGATTTTTCCATGTTGAAAAGAAGCTATAAGCTGTATATCTGGTTTATTGATTTTGTCTTATTGTTAACCTTCAGGGAGATGGGTCATGTGTAACAGTCAAATTGTTGTCAGCGGGAATGAATTATCCGCCAATTAGCATAGAGATCTGCCTCTGAGGAAAAGGCCGAGTCTCCTTTTACAAGTATAACAGTGCTGTATGACGGATGACCTGTGCAAGTGAATGTTTGGTTGATAACTTAAGAGAGTTGTTTTTCATTAGTATTTGTGATCTTTGGCCGAAGCACAGGCTGTAATGTTTGCAGTGTCCTGTTTTCTGAACTTTGCGAGACTCTTTTCAGTTGTCGCAAATCTACTTTGCCAATGCAGATACCAGCTCCACTTGTAAATGCTGGAAGAAGTTGTTGTGAAGGTGGGAAAGCCAGCGAAGGGGATCTGAGCATTCAGATGGATGCTTGAATTCAGTTTCTAAAATGTAGACAGGACAAGTGTCATTGTGTATCTCACTTTGCTCACAAAATAATCACTGTTACTTAGGTGTTAATCTCTGCAAGTTGTGTTGTACTTTACTCACAAATTCCAGTGGAGACAAAAAAACCTTAGTTGTTTTTGCCCATCTGCCTAAGTGTTGTTTGATAGAATTACCCGGTTTCCTTGCTGGCAGGAGATAGCAGGTATCAAGTAAAATAATCAAGATGCAATCTGGATACCACGTTTATTGAAAAAAGAAACTCTTTGTGGATCCTTCATTCATCCTTACGTATGAGTTGAGTCAGACGAGTGAGTTGAAAGCTGATATTAGTTGAAGAAGAATGTAAACTATATTTTTGGAATTTAGTTTGAAATAATGCACCATTTGATATAAATGATATTCCACTCTTCCTCCATTCCTTTTTCATACCATGCTTTAAATTCCTGAAATCAAACCACCACAGAATGCATGCTGTCTCTTAGAATGTCAAATATAGTTTAAAGCTTTTTCGTCCATAGATCTATCAGTTCTATTATTCTACCCATCCACCTCAATGCCAAAAAGAAAAAAAAAGGTAGAGAACCATGGGCACTATATGAGTTGATTTTTTCTTAGCAGAGTTGTATGCAACATATGTTTTTAATTGAGCACTTATTAATGCAAGATCTTCACCTTATGGTGAGGTGACAGTTCACTGAGCCCCCCTTCAGGATCATTGATGCTTCTTTTGCATCAGAAAAGTTTCACCAAAACCCAAAGGAGTAAATAGATAACGACAAGCATAGAGACATGAGAGTCACTAGCAAGTGTGTCAGCTTGCTTTCTTTTACTGCACAAACATTTTTAGTGCTGTTACATGATATTGGTGAAGATCATTACAAAATGCCCAATGGCCTTTAAAATTTCCAATAGTAGTTTAAACATAATCCAAGAACCAACCCTTCCATCTCATCCTATGTCAAAAACCAGTCCCCGAATATAAAATGGATTTCATCAAATCCTCTTGTTTTCGACTGGAACTATCTATGCATTTACAAGAAAGTCACTTGTTACTAGTTTTGAATCGTTGAATTTTTCGTAGACATGCTTGAGCCCTCTCCATAACAACATCAATCCTACTCCTCTTTCTACATCCAACAGTATCCTGTCCCACCCTTTGCAGCTTCTTCTTAGGTTGTTCTTTACTACCAAAGCTTCCATTTTTCCTCTTCCTGTTACTTGATGACTCTATACAAACCCCCAAAACAACAAACTCAACATCAGCACATAAAACTAACTAGAGAAATAGAGACAAAAGAAATTACCTTGAGTATCAACATAGGAGGAAGAAGGAAGAGTGTCAGAGTAGTGAGATTCAAGAAAAGATATGAAGGATCTTAATTCCAACTTGAGATATTCAAATTTGTTAGGATGCTGAGTTTCTAAAATTTCAAGTTCTTTTTTTGCTTCTTCCATTTTTTTTTTTTTTTGTGTTTCCAGGAAATGGAAAGACAGAAGAAGAGGAAATACCGGAAAGTTCGAATGCATTAATAAATGGGGACTACTTTTTAAAGCTTTGATTTTAAAATTCCAACTCCTCGCACAGTGTCAACTGTTGGGCTATTGCCCATGTTCCAGCCAAAGGCCCATGGCCTAATCCTACTTGAAAAAGGATTGGAATTATTCTCTTTATTTGGTTTCCAATTCTATTAGGAAAAGGATTGGAATAGTAATCCTATTTGGAGTTGGTTTTGGCTTTGTAAGGAAAAGCACAACTCTATAAATAGAGGATAGTCTTAAGAGAATAATTCAGATTGCTCATTAGTATTGTCTTTGAAAGACATTAGGACATAAGAGAGGTTTCTTGAGAGAGCTTTCAACAAGAGAGAAAAGAGAAGAAAAAGGGTTCTTTTGCTGCAGTCTTTTATTCCGACCAGCAACCTTCAGATCGTGTTTCCCGATTAGCTAACCGTTGGATCGGGCTGAAATTTGTACTGAGTGTTCCTGACATCTTGGTGGTTGATTTGAACGGTGGAGATCGGATTCAGAAGTCAGCAAGATCCTGTTTTAGGTCCCGAACAGAAGCTGAGTTTGGGTGGTGTTTCTTTCTATTTATCTTTTGTTGGTGTAGCTATTGTTTGTTCTCTTTTGGCACTTGTTGTGTAGCCATTAGAAGAATAATTGTAACTCTCTTATTGTTATAGTGAAGCAATTCGGATCTTGTCGATCCCGTGGTGGTTACCTTCGTTTTGAAGGATTTTTCCACGTTAAACTTGGTGTTCTTTATTTTAGATTTTCGTTTTCATCTTTTCGTCA